AGGGCTTTTGGAATCTCTGGGTGGTGGGGTAGGCCTCGCGCAGCTCTTGGCTACGAAAGTCTGCTTCCAGGTCGCAGAGGTCGTCGCCGCAAGTCCACCACGAGGACGCCATGGGCGAAGTCGACGAAAGGAAGCCGCTGCGTCGCAGGCGTCTGCGCACATGAGGTTCCGCATGTTCGATACTCCGGGTCGTGAAGGCCGTCAAAGAGCACCGTTCTCCTTTGAAGGGTTCCGTTGAGCGCCAGGCGTCTGGGCTGAAGGAGGACACGCCATTCCTGCTGCCGTCCACGAGGAAGCCAGGTAGACTCTGTCCTTGGACGTCTCGCCAGACTGCATTCGGGGGCACATAGTCAGATTTGCACTGCACCCACAGAGAGCCGCCTGTGAAGCTTCCCACCATAATAACCAGTTCAGGGACCCCTTCATGTTGCGCACGTCCCTGTGGCAGATTGCCTGCACGTTCCTGCCGACAGCCAGAGAGGTGACCTGGCATGGGGAATCCTTCATGCCGTGATGCCGCATGTAAGCCAGGAGGTACTTGGCAAGGTTGCGGTTGTCCTTGGTGTCCTTAGTGATTCCGCGTAGGCCGCCGTGGGAGTAAAGACCCAACACGAGGCTGCCAGAGGTCTCAACGTGGCTGGGTCGCTTGTCCTTGTGCATGGTGACCGAGTCCAGAAGTTGATGGCAGGAGGCCTTCGTGAAGTCTCTCTTCTCCAGCAGCTGCTTGGCCATCTTCTCTGAGGCCGGTATCATCTTCGCCTTGACCACATGAGCTGTGGCCTGGTCCTCTGAGCTGGTGGTACCGGAGGTCAAAGAGGTCGAAGGGGTTGCATCTTCAGAGTGGTCCCCGAAGAGATGCGCTGCTGCAAGGTAGGCGTTGTTCTCGAAGATAGGCTGAAGCTCAGCGGGACTTCCATCTCAACCAGTGCGGCCTGCCATTTCCCGTCCGTGTCGCCGTAGAACTTGAAGCCGCTCAAGGGATCGGCTTGGTGTAGCGCTCGTAAAGCTGGGCATGCCAAAATGGTCATGCGCAAGAAATGAAGTAGACGTAGGAGGTGCAGAGGAACCAGTGGTCTTCTCGACAAAGTACTGGTCCACAGCTTCCTGTTCGAGCACCTCGTCAAACCATGATATGACCTGTGAAGGGTTTGTCACCGTTGCTGTGCTCAAACAGCGAACACAGTGGCTCAACCCGTCGCCCAAAACGGTGCGATGTTGTTCACCGCAATCTTGACAAAAGCTGAGTAGCGCAGTGGCTGTAGCGTTGGGCTCGTTGAGGTCCTGGGATTGATCGGCACCCGATGTTCTACGGCTCCCTCCGGGAGCTGGGCTCTGGTCTGGGACGCCGTTCGCTTCACCCCGCGGTTGACTGAGTCCATCTCGTCCATGGCCTGCTCCAAGTGACGTTGCAAGGATGCCGTGGTGCCCGACTCTAGTGACCCCCGTGGCAAAGTTGAGAAAAAGACGGACCTGACGTCTGACTGCATCATGTAGCACATGCCCTGGTGGTAGTGCAGAAGGTTCTGATAGTGGCGCATGAGGTTCGGAGGTTATTGACTGCGGAGCTAATGGACCCAGTAGAGGTTGCCCTGGTGGTAGCGCAGAAGGTTCTGATAGTGGGGCAGGAGGTTCGGATGTTGCCGCGGAGGCAGGTTCTGCCTCAAGCAGGGGCGGAAGCGTACCAGTCCTTGGTCTGCTTGGTATCGGTGTTTTACTCCGGCTCCTGGCCCGTCGTGGTGTTCCCGGTATCGAGGCCTGCTGCGGAGTGCGAGGTAGAGCCGGAGGTACCATCATCAAAGGCGTCAGCATGGCAACCACGCGGTCCTCTGACCATCGGCGTCCAGAAGGGGAAGAACACCTGGCCGAGCTGCAGGAGGAAGGCCTTGGTTTCGTAGGTCGGCATCAAGGCGATCAGCAGTGTGAGCATCAGCGGCAGGTTGGGGTAGAGCATTGGGAGGAGGACGAAACGCCAGCGCGTGCTTGTCGCGCAGATCCTGGTCAGAATTTTTCAGTAGGTCTTGCTCCAAGGCGGGCAATGACCACCACTCCTCCTCCCCAGCGACTGGTCTGGTCTGCTCCTTGGCGGCACAGATAAGGCGCCCTTTGGTATTCCTGATCCAAAGGGACTGACCATCAATGGCGACAATGGTGCCCTGTCTGTAGCCTTCGTTGGTGCCTTCCCCGTCCGCTGCGTTGCGCTTCCTGTATAATAGGCGACAAGCTGGCCGATGTCAAAGGGACCTCGGTAAGGACGGGGCTTACGCAATAGTGCAGCACGTAGAGCAGAATCATATTCGAAGCGATGAAAGGCTGTCATAGCTTCTACGCGAATCTGTTCAATGCGCTGCAAATTGCGCGAGTCGGCTGCGAGCTGGCATGCCTCTATGTCGCCGCCAGAACTGAGCAGCGCCCCAGGGAGGTTTGGGTTCTTGCCAAAAACCCATTGCGCCGGGCTGCTGCCCGATCGCCGCATCAAGGAATTCTTTGCTGCGGCACACAGAGCTACTATCAAAGATAGCTCCTGTGCTCCAACAGGTGCAAATTGGCTTGTAAGTCGGCTAACCATGTACTTGACAGCGCCGCCGTGGCGCTCGACCTTGCCCAGCTGCCAATGACTGTCTGCGGGCACCAAGCGCAAATTGACCGATGACTGGGCAGCGAGGTTCTCCCACTTGAAGCCTCTGAAGCTTCCCTCGGCATCGGCTATCACTTCATCAGGACATCCAAAGTATGTCATCCAGCCATTGACGAACACCTGGAGCACAGTATTTTCAGCTCGGTCCACCAGGTAGCTCAGGGCATGGTATGACGTTGCATAGTCCACCTGCGACAGGTAGGCGCGCGTGGCTCCAGTGATGTCCTTCAGGAACAAGATGTCCATGCCCAAGCGGTCATTGAACCTGCGAGGCGTGAACACCTTGGCCGGTCGTGGTTGTCTAGGGGGTTGGACCCTGCGGCACACTTCGCATCTGAGGAATCTTGCGGCTTGTACGGCTTGGTCCGAGGCACCGGCCGCCGTAAGATGTCTCACCAGCGTGGCATTCGGAGGATGCCCCAGGTTGGTGTGAATACGCCGGATCACTTGTAGTAGCCAACGAGATGCTCAGTTCAAGCCAGGAAAGCTGATGTCGCGGTACCCGGGCTCATGTGGCCTGAGCTTGTCTTGTTCCTCAACGTCCACGCTTGCCTCGGCTTGCTTTTTGCCATCCTGAGGCTGCTTGTTGTCCTCCGGCTTCATGCTGGAGTCGGGCGCGATGCCATAGAAGAAGACTGCAGCTCGAACAGGTCGGGAGAACCTACCCGCAGCAGCGGACAGGATGGCGCTGATAGCTTCAGCTTCCAGCCCGATCGACCCATCATTGTACCAAAGAGCCACACCACGGTGCTTGACACCCTCCTGAATCAAATCCACTGGGAGTTGCATAGGGGTTCGGCAGATCTGAACTCGGATCAAGCGCCATGGCACCAGTGCCTTCACCTGCTCGAAGAATGGTGTGTTAGGTGGCATGACGCGGTCGGATCTGACCTTGCCCTCAAGCTGCGCTTCGGCCTCCTTCAGGATAGGAAGCCAAGAGTCCTCATGCCTGGTGATGTCGAGGAAGAACACGGAAGTCGAACTTCACCGGGCGGTTGCCAAGCTTCCACCTGGGACTCCTCGGTGGTCAGGGCCTCGGCCAACCAAGCATCCTCGTCTGCGTCAGCAGCATTGTATCGCTCATCCCCTGCAGCTCGTAGGCAGAATTCAAGTCCATGAACAATCGCCTTGCGCAACTCAGGGCTGTAGACTTGAGCTCGCTTGCTGTTGCCGCCGAGCACCTGACCATGAGGCGCCTGGCAAGTGCGTGGCCTGCCAACTTTATCCAAGATGTCCGCCAGGTCGGACAACCATCCAGTATAGGCTTCTTCATCAGGAGGCCGTCCTTGTCTCGAGGCCTGAAGGCACACATGTGCCCAACGCGGAACGTCACATTGTTCTTCGCGCTGAGCTTGAGCATAGCGGGATGCTTCCAGAAGTCGGTGTAGGCGGGGTTCTCGATGAGGAAGTGGCCGCCATACTCCTCTTCGGCCGCCACTATTGTCTTGACCATTTCTCCGATGGCCTGATCCTGTTCCAGCCGAAGTGCTTGCAGCTGAGCAGGGGAGTAATTCAGGTGCTGAATGTGCGTCCATGCTGCGCAAGCAATCTCGTACACCACCAGAAACGGCTTGTTGTCGAGGATCAGGTTGCGCAGCCTTACGTGGTCGGCGCGCCCATCGAGTCGCATGCCGTAAATGGCATCAACAGGTTGAAGTGCTCGAAGTCCACGCTGGAGCGCTCGTTGTGTGACGCCTGCCTCCCCGCCGTAGACTTCCAGCAGATCGGTCCTGTAGCGACGAGCTTGCCGGGCGCGATGAGTTCGAGCCAGATACACCTTGGCCTCCAGGTCTTGAGTCTGCTGGATCACTCTCTCATTTCCAAGGATCCGCTTCAGGGTCCCGGGCTTGACTCGAAAGGTTCTCGGGTAAGGGGACTGTCCGCGGAGCCTCGCAGCACCCTGTCCAGCTCGCCGTCTACTTCTCTTCGTCCCAGGCGTCGTCCAGGTCTCGAACAGGCTGCCCTCTGAGCCCTCCAGGTTGTCGTTCGAAGCAGTTGCCCACCGGGCCGGCTCCTCGTACTCCGCCCACTCGTACTTCTCGTTGTATATGCCGCCATCTGTTCTTTGGTCCTGATCCACGCTCATGTTGTCTGAGGCCTCCGAGGCTCAAGCCATTGCCTGCGTAGCCGTGGAGGTATCGAGTTCAGGCCATCCTCGTCCTGCTCGGAGGTTTTGCTCTTGGGTTTCGGCTTTGCCCTGACCTGCGCATTCAAGGGCGTAGTTCT